AAAATATTTGCTGCCGTTTTCGCGAAAAATTTGAAAATGTTTGAGGCTTTATGTGTAGTACCCGCAAAATATCAGTTAATAACTCATAAAGTAACGAGTTCATTCAGGTCGATTCGAGAATAACAATTTTGAAGAAAATTGGCTGAACAGTTTAGGCGCTAGCGTTGACCTCAGACGGAGAGACGGACGTTTTGCCGACAATCGAGTTTTCGGAGTCTAGGACTCACAAAACATGGATTCTGGCTACACCACGTGGTAGAGGATTTTTTTCTATATTTAGCATCAGGAGCTTTTTCGCCACGAGGGCCCGGCAATAAGAGTTTTTTCTGCTGAAAATTCGCCGTTTTCCTTTGAACGTTTACATAACATTCTCCTCTGACAAGATAACATTCACACTGACGTTTTTCCGCGAAGTTTCTTAGTAAAGCGAGAAAGTAGAAAATGATTTACTCAACTGCCGGAACAAATTTCCAACTAATACAGATGTCTGTAACTATAACATTGACATAGTAATCTCATTCAAGTGTTAGTATCAACAACTCCTCACAAAAAATGCACATAAAATACATGTTCATTTTTTACTTTCCCGTATACATACGTACATATGGAGTAATATACGTAGTATAGGGAAAGCTATGTAATGCTGCGCAAAAAACGGGCGGATTTTCGAAAAAAATTTCGGGCCCCGATAACGAAAAAGTGGATAAATCCTGTTGCTAAATGAAGAAAGAAAATCCTCTAACACATAGAGTAGCAAGAATACCTGTTTTTTTGGGTACTTGATACAGAAAAATCAATTGACCGCAAAACGCTCGTCTATCCGTCCGTCTCTGAACGTCTGTGAACACTACTAGCGCTTAAACCATGCGTAGTATTTTTTTCCAAATTGAAGAAACCCCTGTCCATTTAGCTCGAGTCGAAATTTGATATTAAGATAAACATTCTTTAAAATTTGGGAGTAATTCACATGAAGCCCCCAGGACATTTTCCATATTTTCTCAGAAACGATTCCAATTTTTTTTCTTTAAATTTATTGTAAGAATATAGTATAATAAACCTACAAAAATGGCATAGGTTCGATTTTAACTGCTAACTCTGAATTTTCGAAAATTTCAGAAGTATTAATTTTTTTCAGCGTCTTCCTGCAATTACAAAATTGGAGATAAAGATTCTTCCTTCACATAAAATTTGTTGTCCATAATTAGTTCTTTCATTAAAATCAGGTACATTTTTTGCAACTTTTAGTAGTTTTCACGCAATACTGCGTGCACTATTTTTAATTTTAAAAAAACTACAAAAACAAGATTTGTTGACCTGTCTCTAACAAACTAATTTTTCGACGTGTATCTAACGTCGTTATTATTTATATTAGCAGTGATTTGTTTACATTATTACACTAAGGAGTACATGAGCTTTAAATAATGTCCTATAAAATTTCTTGAAAACAACCATTTTCTGTAAAAATGAGCTCAAAATTCTGCATTTTCAGAAACGCTCAAAGGCCATTTTATCCAAACGACTTCAAATTTTGTCTTCAAAATTTTTGGTAGGAATAGTGCTAAATAGTGCTATTTAATATGCCATAAAGTTCATTTTGGAGTTTTTTTTTGTTTTTTCAAAAATTACATTTTTGTAATTTTTTGAAAGTTCCCTCACGCTGTTAATATTCATTTCCAACAATTTGTAAACACTATTGTATTTGTGAGTTAAGGTGCGTTTAATGACTTCTCATAAAGTTTTTCGAAAACTTTAACAACTACAATTTTCTGTGAAAAGAGTTTACAGTAGCGCTTAAACGCCCTTCCCATAAAAAAGATTTCAAATTTTTCAAAGAAAATAGTCATTTAGGACGAGGTTTTACTGTTATTCCTTAAAATAATATTTCCGTTCTAATATTAGGAAACCGACAAATTAAGAATTTAAAAAAAATGGGCGCTTTGGGCGCCGAGAGATGGCAGCTGGCTAGAGTATGTGGTAAGACCCAATAGCTGGACGAGACCAAAGGAAATAGAACATTAATACGGAAAAAGTCTGTACCATTTGTAGCTCCACTACTTTACTCTTTGCCAGCGGACATTAAACAATTAAAATCGCAACACAAGTTTAAGTGCCAAGTAAAATTTGTCTTTTGCATAACTGCTTCTGTACAATTAGAGACTATACTGAACCTCAAAAACGGAAAGAAAATTGTTTTAACAATGATATCATCCCCGAAACCATAGACATCCCTCACATGGCAGGAGAATCCATAAGTTTCCATCTCTTTCTACGCTCATACAAAATTAGTGTTGTAGAGGGAGCTGCAACCTAGTTTCGTGCGGGGGACCCACGTTGCTCAAACAGACAGCTCCCAGCATTCTCCTCTGGAGACACTGACACTCTGATCAATGTGTGGATGTGGGTGGGTGTGTGTGTCTCTCTCTCACTCTCTTTCTCTCTCATTATCTCTTTCTCCCATTCTCTCCCTCTCTTTCTCTTTCTCTCTCTCTTTCTCTCTCTCTCTCTCTCTCTCTCTCTCTCGGGCGCTCTCGCTCAGTAGTCGCCGCACGACTACGCTGTTTAAGAGTGGAACCTCGCCATGCCAGGTAATGTACCATTTTAAGCAAAAGATGCGCATCATTTGTACCCATGCCTTGTAACTGAAGGAGACTGTTACGTTCATGTAATGTATATTTTGTAAATAATAACCCCCAAAAGGGCTGAACGGGTAGGAAATAAAATTTACCAAATTATGAATGCAAAACCAGCTGGGAAATACCGGAAGTGCTGCTATCTGCAGAAACTCTGATAGGTCCTAGGTTTCGAGTTCCCATGGTTGCGGATTTTCGACACTAGCTTGAGAGTTGCATAGTATTAATTGTCCCAGAGTTTGAATAACAACTGTATGGAAGAAAATTCTAGTGGCCGACTGCTGTGATCAATATTTTCTGTGGTTTCCCCGAGCAATACCATGTCAAAGCGGGAGCAGGACACTGACAAACCGGCCTCGAACAGCGCACAATCTTTTGTTCCTCTTACTCAGGGGAGAGATACCTGCAGAAGAAACACATCCTAGCAAACCGACGTGTAGGTCGGCACTGAATCTCACAACCCAGAGGGGATGGACCATCACCACCTTCAGGGATAAATCATTCACTACACTAACGGAATAAATTACCTTAACCATTGGCGTGCCTAGTAACATCGACCAATCTATCAAAACCAATGCAGTTTTTATTGCACGGGAATTAGCGAATATTTGTATTGTCAAATGTTGCCAAAAACATTCTTGATAAATTTAATTAAATAAACTAATAGTGCCACAAGAGCACATGCTTTGTCACATTATTTGTAATAGCTTTGCTAATTCTAAAATACTACGTGAACCTGCCAAATTGTTTCCAACCGGCATTTTCCCCTCCAAGCTAGATTCCAGACTCTGCTATTTCGAGAAAAAATGTAAAGTTTTGAAAGAGCCGTTTTTGAAATACTGTTTATGTATTTATTTATAATTTCCTTTATTTCATGCAAACGTGCTCGAAAATTACCCGTATTTTCAAAAAATTGCACATGGGCCTATTTCCAAGTTTTATCCAGTTTTGAAGAACATATTTTTTTAAGAAAAATAACCTAAACTTGAATATTGTAGTTGTAAAGACACCAAAAACGCTTAGAAACTCTGCAATTTTCGAACTGCAGAGTTTAACAATACTAGGTCATCTTAAAAGAATTTTTTCTTTTTTCTTTTATTCTGAGATCTTTACTGCAATTAAACTATCTAGGGACGTAGAAGTATAGAAAATGTGACCATTCATAAAACTATTTCTACAACGTAAACATTTCAGAAAATAAAACGCGACCATCGTATTAATGAATAAAAATCTACATGTATTAATTTCTACAATATTTTCTGTTAAGGTAGTGAATGTTAGGAAATTTGTTCATTAGTCAATGCAAGAGAGAATATTTGAACTCTAACGAAACTTTCGAGATTTGTAGGTATTGTAACAAATTCTGTAGAATATTATTTAAATAAATAGTTTCACCTCTCCAAAGCACATTATTGGCCATATAAGCAAGATAAATGTCAATATCACTCAATATCAAATGTCAATGTCAGAAGACGCTAGATACTCGATATAGTATGCTGTGTTTAGACAGTGTGATTAAGAGAGTTTTGCACATGATAAGTGAAATTTTGCAAGTACATATTTAATTTGGAATATAATTATTATCATTTTACATAGCCACTACAAATAATACGGAGTACTTGCACCATGTTGTAACACCACTAGTTTACCGTTGCTGAATCGAACATATATATTCAACTAAATTTGTTATATAACAAAATCTTTAGAGTTGTTTCAATCCATTGATGAACACTACAAGACGACAGCTATGTTAGGAAATTCGGTGTAATTGATTTCTGTGAAAAATGTTTCGCAGAATGTGCAGAAATAAATATTATGTGGTATATCTGACCATTTGCATTTAAGGGCACACTAGTTCTGGCAAACATATTGTGTTTATTGTCAGCGTCATGGGTCTACCAAGGCATCCCATAACCACTAAAATTAGAGTCAAAGATATCTTATTTGCAACAATAGGTGTGGACTATTTCCGTTAAAAATATTGATCAATGTTCAACTCACGTGCCGCTTGATTCCAACTGCAATGCACTTATATGTTCCAGCAGCGATTGCAATTGGTGAGAGGCTTCCTGGGATGCTCCTTCGGAGCCTCCCTGAGATGTCACTCGTTCAGCAGCCAAGGATTTTACATAAGGCTCCAACTGATGAGCAACAGCACTCAGATGCTTCACTTCTGATCTCAGATTCAAAATATCATTCATCTGGAACGTACAATCATTAGTGAGATAAGAAATCTCAGCTGAATTCATAATAATAGAAAAAGGTACAACACTCACCTGTGATTGGAATATTTCTTGCTCTACGTGTATTCTGCACAGCTGTTCTTCCCACAGTGTATCAAACACATTCTTCAGGCGCTCGAGTTCTACCTGGTGCCTTTCCAGTTGTTCTTCGAGAAGAGAGCATTCTCTTGTAACGTGTTCATAGCGAGCCCCAAGGGGAGGTGTGTGAGCTCGTCTTAGAAGTGTTACATCTCTATGGAGTTCTCCCAAACGTTCTTTCACTCCACATAACTGCTGACTCAATTCCTAAATGCAAATTTCAGATAAGTAAATAAATATTTTGCTTGGAAATAGAATTGTAATAATGCTAGAAAACACTCGCTAAGAGTAAATAAAATGCCACCTAAAAAGATAAAATTGCAACGGTCGCAAATTCTTTCTGCCCACTCTTCAATTAACTTTTTTATTAAAAGCGAATGTTCTCACCAATCCTAAAATATCACGAATCACTAGGATGTTAATTTCAATAAAACATTTATACATATCCCTCCAATTTCACATCTATGAGACAATTTTTTTAACAAAAAAGGATTATCAATTACATAGATTGATGCGTTCTTCGCTAACATTACAAAAATGAAAGAAAAACAACTAAGTGAATTTTTAAAATTTACCGTAATAGTTGAAAAATGAAAGCTTTTTAGAAGAAATAAAAGAAACTCAGGAGGATTGACTATGTTCTAATTGAACGTTTTCCTCTACTTCTTTTAATCATTTACATATTTTTAGAATGTAAAGGCAGGTCATATTTCAAGTAATATATATTATCATTCTAATAGTATCTATATCACCATTTGTATTTAATGTAAAATGTATTTTAAGGTTTGAGCAATTGGAGCAAAAGAGAAACTTTTTGTTTTTGTGCATATTATTGGTAATGGTTTAAAGATATGCTGCCAAAAAACTTTTCGGATACGGCGTTCCGATAAGCTGAGAAGATGTCCAGACATTTGACTTTTAGAACTTCTGAGGGCTACAGCATCGCCTGTGGGTGGCAAGTGTCAGACGTTGGATGCTGCGAGCTAATGGTTAACATCAGGATGAGAAGATGAGTGAGCAAGTACGGTGCATCGATTTTGGATCGTTTTGCGCAGCACCAGGGTACGTCACGAACCACGTGACCACAACACTTCGTTTGAAAAGCCAGACCAGACGCTGGCCGCCATGTTGCTTTGGATGTGTTTTAATAAGAGGAGTGCTAGAACAGCAAATGGAAGGATCGTTGTCAAAGTGTTGTTCCAGATCTCAGGAGAGCGCGTTTGATTCTCAGTCTGCCTAGATTTTTTTGTCCATTCTACATTACCATAAAATCCACTAAATTATAACATTGTACATTTGTCTTGTCAATGTTATTCATAAAGCAGCCAAAATTCGCCTATGCAAACGAGACAAATATTTGAATTCTGAAAAAAAAATTATAATTGACGATATTGTAATTTCAAATACATAAAAAGATTACTACCAAAATTAACACGATATATGACTGCTAGTTATACATCAGACGACCATATTAGTGATGTATTTCTGCTTGCTACAAATTATAGCTCAGAAGAGAGTTGAATAAACGCATATCTTTTGTTAAGAGAAATTAACAATTTTCTCTCTTAAGCCTCAGGCTACTGCCGATTTGCAAGTACCCTTGCCAGCACTTTCGTACTTTCGATTCCTGGAGAAATTGGGATAAGGGGTTATGCAGCATTGCTACTTGGTAAGAAAAGAAAGATCAATATTTTCCCTATTCATTTTTCGACATGGATCACTATACCCCACCACCACGAGAGTGAGTTATCGCTTTAGTAGAAGAGAGACACCTGTCTCTCACAGAGGCAGCGTTTTTAGAGTAATTATTAATGATGTATTCTCTATATTTTCAAGAATAAGATACAAAATACATAATTTGGAGAATAAAAATATAAATATTTCGTTAAAAATAAAACCTTTTCAGGGATACCATGATTTACCGACATAATATAATTAATAACAGAATGCTGCAAGGCGTAGCACCAAACATTTCATTACTCCTAAACTAACAGCTGCTTTAGATAGATGCCAGCAGAGTGTAAGATATTCTGTCTACATCCTTCAGGTGACAGTAGAGGTACTTGGCCACAATACCCGAAGAACTCTGTATTAATAAATTTTCTATTCTTCGAATCACAAGAAGAGAAAATAATTTTAAGAAACAATTTAATCTGCTTTTAAGTGTAATTTATCTGAAATTCTTACTCTTGTTTGGGATGGTAAACTATTGCCTGCATTAAATACCAAAAGAAGAAAGACTACCAAATGTAGTTACATTTGGGGACAGTCAGCAACTTATCGGGTTTCAAAAATTGCGGAATTCATCTGGTTAGAAGCACACCAGCGTTGTTTGGAACGAGTGAATGTGTTGAGGAACTGGCGTATCGAAGACAATGTACAAATTCTTTATTGTGTTACATCTGAATCAAAACGTGACGTTTTGAAGGAGAATGTGTCATTCTTGCAGAAAATGTGAACAGGGAATTGTTGTTCTTACACTGCCGTCATCACAAATACGAACGTATATTACAATGTGTTTGAATATAAAATTCGCGATGTATCCAGCAATCCTGACACCACGTTTTAAGCAATTTAAGGTAAGCTGGAAAAGAATTAATGCCATTAATATTCAAAGTGTCAAAGAAAATGTGGAAATTTTCTTTAATGAGTCCGAAATTAAAGAAATTTTGGGATTTTATGAAAGTAACAAACTACAGATACATCTTCCCGGGTAGATAGATCGAGTTCGATAGATGGTAAGAGCTATTTAATGATTAAAAATGTTTATGATAAAACGAGAACCTAAACTAACTAGTCTTTTTAAAAATTCTTTAAAAATGTGTCTGTTGATTGTAACTACTTATGTCAAACTGTGACTTTAGTGCAGTGCAACTGTAAAAGCTCTTTATCAAGACACGTGCTGTTTAAAAGTTCTAATATTGCATGAAACTATAGGTTCCACAATTTCAAAAGCAGCTTTAAAACCACTTATGCACCGTATGTGGTATTTATCAGAATTGCCTGCAACATGATAAAGTAGATGTCAAAGAAAATCAAAATGATAGTACAAAGAACATTGATGTTTATACGTACAAACGTCTTTGATGATGAAGTAGGCGTAGGAATCAAAATAAAAATGGTAGCAAATTTAGCCTGACAGCATCTATACATCGAAGAATGATATATTCCTTTTCGTGGAGGATAATATTGTAAGCGCAATTGTATCCCGATGACCGTTCTCTAATTATTAACTCGTTAATACATAATAAATCTCCTAATTCAATTTTATCTTCATTTTAATGAAAACAATAGCCGACTTTGTGTCAACAAAAAGCAGATGTCATTTGGCTTCTTTTGGCATAAAATGAATACAAGTTTTATTCAATAATGTTCTTCGACCTGGACGAGCAACTCTTTTTATTTAGAAGCTCAAATGTTTTTTTATAAACTTGAAAGCTGTGAATGACTGCGTTGAAAGACCTATTCCATTAATGTAAGATATTTATGGGCTACTGAATGTAGATGACGAGTGAAAGCAATTTCTATTGTGTTGTTCAAGAACATCGTTCACTGTACCCACTGTGCTTATTGCAAGAAATAAACACTGAAAAAAGTACCAACAAGACAAATTAATACCATAACATAGTCTAAAGAGTGAAAATGAATTAAATTGTCATATAAAATTATATATTAAATATGTATCAGTAGTTTGCCACTGACTTCACGATACCAATCATCCCCAACATTCAAATTTCGCGCTCAAGTCAGCACGGGTTAATGTCGGCCTATTGAGATTAAATTTTATTTCTGAGTAAATTTGACCCAATGGAAAATATTTAAGGGTTTAACCCCAAAAAATGTGAAAAAGGTTTTTTGCAATATAAGGGGCATCCTATTGAATACCCGTACTATTGTATCTTCGCTTCTCAAAAAGCAGCAATACGTATACCAAACCCTCTTCCGAATGTCTGCCCAAGTTCGGAACACCTATCTTCGCAAAAGACCCATTAATTTCAAGACGACGCGCAAGGCCAGTCCAAGGCAAAGATTTTCTGTGCAAAACTTTGCATTACAGAAACACATAAACACTTCAGAAACATGTAAATTGTTTATTATTTACAAAAGGAATGAATATTTTGTTCAGAAAGAGCAATGAACGCAGAAATTAAAAAAACGCTCAAATTGCACAATTCGATTGCTTTTTTATTTCTGTGTTAATTTTTCTTTCTGAACAAATATAACTCTTTTCTTTTGTAAATAATTTGCACGTTACTGGAGCATTTATATGTTTCTGCAATGCAAATGTTTACATAAAAAGTATTTTTTCAAACCATCTTTTGAATAATTATTGCGATTTACATACGGAATATCCAAGGAGCTTATAGAAAAAATATGCTTAATATTGTCTTGAGTGCTAATTTTCGAAGTTTCGACCTTTCCTCCTTGGACATTCTGTATATTGTATATTTTTTTGTGCAATGTTATTCTCTAACATTAATGACAATCAAAACAAGTATTATTTTAAGACAATTATATTAATGACATCAATATACTAAAGGCAGTGTGGCCGCGAGACAGTGTGGCCGCATCATCAAGTGGTCTGTAATCAGCAGTTTTAACAATTAATACAGTATGATTACAATAAAATCACAAACGGTATATTAATGAAAATGTATAGTAAGTACGAGGCAGCAATCTTACCGAGGACAAATATTAGAATAAAATTGTTTTTTATTTATCATCGCCGCTAGCGATAACGTGAAAGAGCAAAGATAAGTAAAGAAAAGAAAGAAATCCAATATCTCTCACAAAATTTAACCGGACCGGTGACGCACACCTCGAGAAACGTGTTTAAAGCGGGCCAATGGCTAGCAATCCCAGTTTATGTACTGCCGAAAAACATGAACTACTATTATACGCAAGCTGTCTCTTACACTAATTCCCCATTAAGACTAATTATCAAATATTAAGTCACATACTGATAGTCAACGAATCCAAAGACTATTATTATGCTTCAAACATGCCTAATCTGTAGATTTTCTTGCAGTTCATTTCTTTTTACTTTCTTCTCCATACTTCGTAAGAAGAGAAACTATTGTAATCGTGCGCCGGAAAAGGACGAATTTCCGACAGAAAAGCTCTTATTGCCGGGACCTGGTAACGAAAAAGGGGATAAATCTTGTACCTACATATAATACAGTAAATTACTTCGTCCAACACGTTGT